TGAGTATGTTTATATGATTTAAAAGACTACAACCTAAGACTGTGTGATTTCGTTCACTGAGCAGTTTGTGACGATTTAACAGATTTGAAATAGGTAATCAGAGATTAGGAAGGCTGATCTTGGTGCGAATTTATATAGTTTGTGGTACTAGAATACTTGCACTTGACACTATGTACTTTTATGAGGTAAGATGTATTCCAGTCACTAATATATACACTTGACAATTATATTATCAAACAGAAATCGACTATATAAATGCGTACGTTACGTAATCGATCACTGCTCAGCTTTGTAGACAGTAGTCATACAGTGGAAATATTCATCGACTGTGGACGTCGTTTAAATGGATTCTACTATGACTACTAATCAGAATTAACCAGAGATCATCGTTGATCGCTTAACAGAGTATCATCGAAATACCATGAAACAATGCCATCAGAACATGTTGAAGAAAATTAAATCAACTCTGAGATTCAAGACAGACAGATTCAAGAACGAGACAATGAACCAGTGTTCGGGTAGGCTACTCTGATTCGTTGATCCAAAGAAACTGACGAAAAGTCTTGAAATAGCGTAGGAAGTGTATTCTACAAACACCTAGCAAGAGAAATGATAGCAATCACACAAATCGTGTTTATTTACCCATCATAGAGACGTCCTTGGGAGAGTCACAAAAACAGCACACTAAAATAACGCATCAACCAATCACAGCCAAAGATTTTCCTGGTGGGCAATGTGATCTCAGCGTTAACTGATAAGTCCATGAATAAAATCCAAAATTGAGACATTTATCAATTGAAATCTGGGGATCTAACGTCTCCAGCAAATTGAAAAAATCAACTTACACAGTCTGCTAAATGTACTCAAACGTCGTTGTTGTTTGACATCAATTAATGTGGACAAAAATTTTCGAGTAATTCGTTTAGCTGCTAAAATACCTAACAATGATACTGGTGGTCGACGAGTACTAATCAATGATGTAAGAGAGGATGACGACTGAGTGTTTTGACTAATCTTCCTACTAACAACTCCACTAACACCTCCACTGCCACCAACTGTTGGAAGGTCAACATCACGAAATGTCAAGATTTTATTAGTTTCAACTGCAGATATTGGACCATTGAGTGAGGTGTTGTAACAGGTCAGTGGTGAACGATTAGGACAACTTGCAGGAGTTTGTGGTTGTGGTTGTGCAGCGCCTGTGAGAAGGAAATAAGGAAGGCGAAATCATTTGAAATAATAATATTTTGAACAGTTAGTGTGTATTACTACTGATTTAGTATATGAGTAGTATGATTAGATTTGTTTTCAATTATGCGAAACTGAGTGAGGACTGAATAAAATGGTGCTTTGACAATGAAAATGATCAGTTGCTGTTCATACTTCATACAACCGGAGCACGAGCTAACAGTAACTGGATAGACAGAGTAGATTGGACAATGCTAGTTAGCGGATGCCAATGCTCCATTGAGGATAACAGGAGTAAGCAAATAAGTAAACTGATCAGTTGATTGACTTTTTCGAAATAAACAAATTTACTACAGTGTCATCATTTCATTGTGAATTTCCGCTCCTTTTGTGATGTGATTATGAACCCACGTTGAGAGACATGCCTCATGACACTATCGACTGAGATGAGACAATTTAGTGTTCGGTTAATAGAACAACAAACTTATATAAACTGATCAAGTCTGATATTTTGTAGAATTTGCTTACTTTAACATAATTTGCTAAGTATCAAATCATACTGAGTGATGTGGTATCTGTAAAAGACCTGTTAGTAGATTTTTAATAGAAATGTAGTGTTTCCCATGTTAATATAGATGTGAGATCACCACAAATATGTTTTGACACCCGTAGTATTACACCGCGGAAGGTTATCTGGGTCGTTTGATTGATGTGGCGAGAGTGAGAATCTAAACTAGTGTTTGTTACATTACACAGTGCAATTATGTATGTGAATGCCCCTGGTTTTAGGCTGACATTTCAAACTTCCATATGCTATTGGGCGATTTCGCAAACAACTGTGGATCTGATGTTGACTTATTTGGTTTCATTCATTGGTGAATGAAGAGGAAAGTCGATTTGTTGAAGTACAGATGAAGCTCTAGCTGGTTCCCGTTTTATTCCAACCGAATGATTAATTAAGTTTGTTCACCTTTCGTGAGACACATTTTTATTTAAGTGTGCGTTTATATTGAAAAATTGCAAAGAATCATTTGATTGACGTGTTGTTTTGGTAATAAAAACTCATTTATTTAGGACCTTGTGTTAAATACATTAATTTATCTTATGAGTAACTGTCACATGAACTTGGTATTGAAAACAAGTTAAGAGATTCTGTCACATGTATAGACAACTATGCTTAGTTTACGATTGATTATCAGTAGTATTTCTATCACAGAATAAATTATCAATCTTTTCAAAATGTTATCACTTTATCTGATTGTTTTAAGACTTATTCTGACAACAACTCATGACATTGGAGGGTATTCATAATTCGAGACTATGAACCCATGTTGTTACTCCATACATGAATATGTGTTCAGCTAACTATATAAAACCTTAATGAACTTAATTTAATTTGAGATAGTTGATAAGTTGACTGAAATTAGCTCAGCCTCAGTTGAGATATGTTAGCATCATCCTGTGAAAAGTGTCACGATTTATTTATTTTGATGACACAAGTTTATACAGAATAGATTGAATGTGGTAAGCGCACTAGTTAGGTGGATAACACTGCGGTATTTGAAGTAAACGATATTGGGTTGGAGTTTCGTAGTGAATATCAGCTTTGAGATGTGACAGGTACATCTATCTACAGACGCGGCGTCTCAGATAGGACGAAACCTGCTTCGTGGATCTCACTGTCATTCATCAGATTCTATCTATTCTCAAAAGATCGGCGTACACCCTTGAATCAACGTGGATTCATCAGTTCGAGTTTTAAATGACAAATAATCCTACTACTTAATATGATATATGAGTAGTTAAAAATGATATCAATAAATACAATCTGTCTAGGATATCTTACCTGGATGTTTTCCCAATGATAATCGTTTCACACCTTTCTGCCTTGATAAAATATCCAGTCGAGAATTTCTTTCCTGTTTCAATGTATTGTTTACAGATGGTCTTGTCATAGTGTTTTTCATAGTGGACTCTTCATTGACAGTTTCCAACTCGGTAGTTTTTGAATTGATTCGCGTAGGGGATTCATTCATCTTTTGGGAAATATCTTATTCTGTAGTAAGAATAATAATGAAATTGATGTTATGTATAGAGATTTGTAAAGATTGCGAAATTTTCGAAGTGTAAATCGTCACAGTTTAAATGATCAGTGATATCTAACCACAGTGTGTTTGAGACAGTTATCTACTGTGGACAATAGATGAAGTTTGCGTAACATCTTGAATTGATTGAAGTTAGATATCAACGTCATTCAATGTCATCTTAGAAGTCTACAGTCTAAGCATTCGTGTGAGAGACTGTGGTCCATGGACAGGATTTCTGGTAGTAGGGTTGCGTATGTGTACTGAGAAGTCTTATGATGTAACGAAACGGTGGTTCGGAGCTTGTGACTTTTCATTCATCGTGTGGTAAATGTCGGTTCATGATTTCAGTTGGGATAAATTTATCGTACGGAGAATAGATCGATTTGGTTATGTGCCTTTCACATTCAAATGCCCTGGTGTGGTTAAAAGTTGAATTAGTTCATCCACCCTGTCAGATCCTATCGCTTGATCATGGGTGTCTGTTACTATCACGGAAATCCTTCTTATCGTCTCCTCTCGGTACAGGTGTCGTTTACCAAATTGAGCCGATGAAGAGCGAGTGACTAGAAAAGGCTTAAACCTGGTTGGTGAGTATGGAGGATCCCTGACAGCAGTTGAAAAAATTTTATTACATCCTACTGAGCACATATGCTACACAATTTTGTCAAAATGAATTGGTTTATGAACCTATAAATTGATCACTGTCTACAATGCGACTGCATCTGTTGACGATGCCATGTGGACTAGGCATATTGATCACAGTTTCGAATTGTGACCTACACAATAATATCACTAACTTTTGTCTGAGCAGCCGGTTGAAAAAAGAATCCCAACCCACTCACATGTATTGCCTCCACATATATTCGAGTTCGCTTACATCTAATTTGGTTAAGCCCTTTCGATTAATTTATTTAACCAAGCCATTTGTATTGCAACAATTTATATGTACCATTCATTCTTATTATTGTCTGGTTTGTATGAGCTCACATGATGTGTCCCACTTGTCATTTGACCTTGTCAACTATTCGTCGCTTTTATTCATGTGTGCCTATTTCGCTTGTCGCATGTCTGCCTTATTTTTGTCTGACTATATATTCTTAGTCATGCTCCATTTCTTTGTGTTGGCTCATTATCCTTCTCCACATCGCTTCTTCCGCCCATTCGTTCGCATTGTAACCCTGGGAGTTGGCTAACTAGCCTTTTCCACATCGCTTCCTTCGCCCGTTTGTTCGCATTGTAATCGTGGGAGTTGGCTCAACAGCCTTCTCCAGTTCACGTCGCTTCATTCGTTTTATTCACTGCTTCTCCGCTTCGCTTTGTGTGGTGTGTCCCAAAATAAACGTATTCATCACTACGAGTTCACTTTCTGATTTATAAACCGTCAGACGCTAGTTAGTAACGATTGTCTGGACGAGCTAATTACTGAGCTTAAGAACACGCAGTGAAACGGCACACTACACACATATTCTAGAGTTTGTATGGTACTTTAAATACTCAGGCGCTCTTTTGTACCGATGGTCATGTATTTAAGTTAAATGAAATATTATATTTTGTCTTTCGGGTTGTTAAATCTCTGAACAATGAAAGCAACTTTGCACAAAGAAAGTTTCTTTCAAAATATTTTGGAAAAAAAATTTTAAACACACAAGAAATCAAATCTTTTTGTGAATTCCAGTGAATCATCTCGTAGTATACTTAACTAACCAGTAAACGATTTCCATTCTGCATTAAAAAAATTTGTAATTGTCTTCAACGGAATCTCATTAGACTGATGTTTATCATAACGATTTAATATTTTTACAAGCTTAGATTTTAAATTTTGTACTTAGTCGATTGTTAGAATTGCTGAGTGAAGACTAGTGGTTTAACAACTAACGAGTAGAATTGGAGACTGACGTGAAAAGAATGAACGGTGATTGGATAGAATTGGAAAAGAAGGCCTAGGACACAGTAGGTTCGGAAATGCTAGTCGACGGCGGCCACTGCTCTAGTGGGGATAACAAAAGTAAGTAAGTAAGTAAATTAGTTAGTTGGTAGTTTGAGAAAAGAACTCTCAGGGATACAAAGCTGTTAGCTTTATGTGAGACTTCTTGATCTCAGTTGATTGTTCGGTGTGTGAGGGAGCTGGTGCCAGTGGTTGTTATGGATTTTCGTTAGTACACAACCTAGGCGGCTCGGTAAACTATAAAGGGTGCTACGTCTGGCTGGGTTTATCCGCCTTGCTGTCCTCTTCGAGTGGGTAAAGTTGAATATGGGTTGGTTGAAGGGATCGAGTTAATTCATAAGAACCCTTAAAAGGGCGCCTGTTTTATGCAGTGACCGATCGGATGTCAGTTAGATTTGCAAGAGAAACTAGACTTACTCTTTTTGCGAGGGGAACTATGTATAATGGCATCTGTCCTAATCTGTACATTGACTGATAAACTTACGATGCTTAATAGATTTTCTAATAAGTTGACAGATTTTCTCGTTATTCATATGTTTACTAATTACTCCGTGACTATTGTAATTAAAGAAAGTCTAATTACGTGAAAATTTGGATTGAATTAAGAAATCTAACCAAGCCAGTCAGTCAATTACAACGTAGAACTTCGTACATACGCATGTACATCAGTTCAAGTTGCCATACCACATAAGGAGCACAGAGATGTAATTGTCTATTCAAATCTAATAGTAGTAGAGGTAGTAAAGGTATTAGAAGTAATTGGAGAGATTAGGGTTCGAAAATGTTATTAAAGAAGTATGATTCATTGAGATAAGTTTAGAGGGGGAAAGGTAGAGGTGTTGACGAATCCAGAAGATTAGGATTTGAGAGAACACAAAGAGTGGATGCACCTGCGCCATAGCAAACGATATTGAGTCATGTCATTCAAGTTCTCTAACCATCAGTGGCATTGTTAATCTAACAAAGTAATTTGTATAAATCATTTTAAACAATGAACAAATTATCAGTCTAATAAATAGAGAATATTTATGACTAATTAAATCCTATTGAAATCATGAATTGATGATTGTTAGACCACCATTAGAAACCTGGAAGCATTGAGTTAGGTCTCGTGATATCCTTAGATTGATCAGAATTAAACATTTACAGTATTGGGTGCTGGGTTGAGTGGTTCAGAGTTTAGGCATTCACGTGCCCAAGACCAAAGGTCCTGAGCTCGAATCCTACGAGTAGTGTGACTACTGGTTAAGCACTGCTGATGTGTCTCATACTAAGGCGGAACGGCTATTGAGTACTTGTGCGTTTCTAATGGTAGTCTAACAATGATCGATTCATATAAATAGTAGTAAAGAACGCTCTTCCTAACTCTATAATGAAAAATATGCCAATTAATCAAATCCCATTGAAATCATAAATCGACCTTTGTTTGACCATCATTAGAAAGAAACTCAGAAGCACTGGATTACCGTTTCGTCCTAGAACGTGACTTGCCAGCCGTGCGCATCCACGACATCCAAACACGGGAATCGTACACTGGACCTTCGGTCTCAACCAACTACCCACTAAAATCAGTCGTTAATTACGTGCTATATCGTGGACTGATTGAAGTTAGATGTTGACATCACTGGGTGTTGGCTTAGTGATCCGAAAATTAAGCGTTCACACACGGGACCGAATGTCTTTCTTTCCACCAGCATGGATCATGGATGCGCACTGCTGATGAATCCCATGGTGAGACAAAATAGCCGTCTAAGGCTTCCAAGTATCTAATCTAATGATGGTCTAACATGGATCGATTCATAATCTCAATAAACCTCAACAATGATAGTTAAATTCAATAGTCTGTTTAAAACACAATAAAAATAAAGTGACTTACGTTATTAACCAGATAAACTATAATTTATCAATGAAAAATGATTTCATATAGCTTGTAGTGTGACATTTATACATAAATAATATATATGTTACATGTCGTCGTTACCATAACAACCATCCCTAACGTATCATGTAGTCAAGGTGACAATTCAGCGTAGTTTATTCATGTAAAGATATCAAAATGTAGACCAAGTCATTTATAGCCAATGAATTGGTTGTAATCAATGCTATCATTGATGAATGATGACCTTATCTTTGAATAGACACGTTGTGGTGCTGTGGTGCGAGCTACTTATAAGTAGTATATGACGTGAAAGAAAACGTAATGTCTGGCAGCAGAAGATGGGAGAAGATCAAGAAAGGAAGAGTGGGAACACAATGGAATTTGTATGAAACGCATGAATAATGACAATGGATTGATGTTTTGCAACAGGAACAGTCCAGTTCGATATGATGAGCTGATATTTTGCAAATTAACGATTTACGATATGATTTTCCGATTATACTGATTAACTCTGTAATTTTCGTTAAATTCAATTCGGTTGCCCCCACCTGTGTTCTCGTTCACTACAACGTTAATAGTTGATTGTAGATGAATGAATGTGTTTATACACTTGTAAGGTGGTAGGTGAATGAAGATAGTCGACAAGAAATCCTACTTAATCTAGGTTTTGTGTTATACGCTACCTGCCGATACTGATGTTTCTTGACTGAGTCAATCCTTTGTCGCCAGCTTCACGGTTACAGACGTTACCAGTGAGCTATCTAAGCCGCAGTTGATTTCTTACAGTGGTTGAGATGTTCTTACGATCTGACACTATCAGCAACAGCCTACTGTTAGAGTGGACAAACTAGATTCGAGCTCAGTAAGAAATTAGGAAGAAGCTCTGGTGGCGGGCAGGAAACACATTAAGGAAATCATCCAACCACACCACGAAGTCAGGTCGTAACTCAGAATCCTCAAGGCGAAAGAAAAAGGTTTAAACCTAAGAACACATTGCTCCGAAAATCGGAAATAAATTGGAAAAGAATGAACAGCAATTAAGTAGAACTGCAAAAGAAGGCTTAGGACAGAGTAGGTTAGAGAATGTTGGTCAGTAGACTATACTTCATTGGGAGTAACATGCATACGTAATTAAGCGACCAAATAAGTTTGAAACGAAAGTCAATGCATCCGAGTACCTAAATGAACAAACAGGATTCCAAGGGAGGAGGAAATCAGGAAGAAGCGGTGGCAGTGTATACGACACACACTGTGAAAGGCACCCAACTGCGTCACACACAACACAAGCCCTCAAGGTCAAGGGAAAAGAGGAAGACCAATGAACACATAAGGCCAAAAAATGCAGACATACGTGAAAAGAACGAACAACAGTTGGGAATCCCAGGACAAAGTAGGTTGGAGAATACTTGTCGGCGGCCTATGCTCCATTGTGGGGGTAATAGGCGTAAATAAGTAAGTAAGTAATTGCAAGTACATACACCTGATCAATACCATCTAGGTTAGCCGACTCAAATCACATTCCACTACAAGCAACTAGGTAAACTCTAATTTTACAAATATATATATGGGCACACACACACAAACACCTTTTCAAGATATCAATCATTGTTCTACGTATTGAATCAATTTTCAATATGTTTAAAAAGTAAAACCACACACACTTATTATTATCATAAATAAAATATTCCAGTCTGCTTTGTTACAATAATTTCGTTTAAATTAGTGAGTAAAAATAAGCAATTTTTCGATACAAACCTTTCTTTATTTTATAGAGTTATCGAGATAGTTCTTTACAACTGAAATTGTGCATGAATCATTGTTAGACCACCGTTAGAAACACACACAAGTACTCGGCAGTCATTTCGTCCTGGTATAGTACTCATCTGCAGTGCCCATTAACAGGATTCGAACCCAGGACTTGCGGATTTGGGTGCGAATACCCAACCTTTGGACCATTGAGCTAGCATCTGAAGGTGCTAGTGGTTAACTCTGACCAATCTGAGGATTTTGCGCAACCTAACCCATTGTCTTCAGTAAGCTGCTGCCTAAACTCGACAGGATTGAGCTCCACTAGTCACAGGTTCTCACTAAAACTTTGAAGATTTCCTCAAGAAGCGAATTACTAGTGAGTTAATCTTTCTCGCGCCAGACCGAAGGTCATTGGCTTGACTGCCACATCCTGGGAGTCGTGAACTTATTCTACTGTAAATAATAAAATTCTAAATTTGTTACGCATGTTCCTAAGCACGCCAACTAACATTCTTGAACTACTACGAGTTCACCTTAGTCGAAAAACGAGAGCGAGGATCGAGGATCGGTAAACACGACAGGATATTATAATCCGAGCGTCACAAACCCTATTGAGTGAACTACGACTTGATATGAAGTAGAATGTGTATTCTACAAGCATTCAGGAAGTACGAGGTCTGAGTCCAGAAGAAGGCAAGGATCTTGGAATAAGGATCAGGGTCCGTGTCA